TATCGCGAACGGATCAACTAGTAGAACTAAAAATGAAAGTACGATATATAATTAAAATCCATGTTTGAAAACGTGCCTGTGGAGGCCATAAACGCGTCGGATATTCGCTCGGCGGAGAAGATCCGAGGGGATTATGACCAAATCGGAAAGAAAATCTGGAAAATAATAAAATTTCGAATTTTATTGTTTCTTTCTTTGTTTGAAATATGATAATTAGTGTCAGATCTTCTATATTTTTGTTAAACCCCACTTGAAAATAGGAAGAAAATGGTGAAGTGTAAAAAACGATTGGTGACCATGGATTAGGGTTCAAGAAGATCTAAACTCGTTTGAAGAAATTGACTCATAAAATTACCAGTTTATCCCCTCATTAATATAATTGAGTATTGAAAAAGAATATATATAAATAATATAATTGAGTAAAAAGACAAAAACTTGAGCTATGGTTGGGTCGAACTGGTGACTTTCTCCTTTCTAGGCCATCAGGTCAACCAACTTTGCTGTCAAATATATTGTCATATGATCGCAACTAATATATTTAACCTTGCTTTGCGCTTTATGGCATTTCCACATTTAAATTCAGTAATATGAATATTAACTAACTCTAATATTTTAAAAACGCAAAAATAAATTCCCGTTTATTCTCCTCCGTTTAATCTCCGGTTTAATTGCTATGTTTAACTCGAACGTCCGATTCACGCCTACCGAATTTTTTAACCTTGATTAAAACACACAAGATTCATATATATATTATAGTGACAGATTTATGTCTTGTCAAGAATGATAAATAATTAATTTTATCTCAAACCCAGAATAAAACAGTACTCAAATTCGATTGTTTTTAAAAAATGTAATACACTCAAATTTGAAATATTTGTTACTAGTCAACTCTAATAAATAGTAATAATTTCCAATCCCCAAGTCATTAACAATGAAGAAAATTGAAGTCATATATAAATATAATCTAAGTCGTAGACAATATGAACAAAAAAAGTCTTTAAACAATATTTCCGGAGTCATAAACAATGAAGAAAAAATGTCAATTCAATGAAGTGTCGAACACATTTGCAAGCAACTAATCAGAAAATTATGAAAATGTTTCATTTTAGTTTGGGAGAGAAAATTTACATTTTTAGTACGAACGAAAAATTATGTTATAACATTCATGGTTGTGGTTCAAAATCCGAATTGAAAAACCTATAAAAAATTATTGAGAAATATATTCTTCGATTTTTTTAACGAAATGAAAAAGTGTATTATGATTAAAAAAATAAAGAAGGGAAAAATATTCTTCAAAGCATCCAGCTTTCGGCTTCGAGGTGAAATGACTAAATTTTGGATGTGAAGATATATATTAGATTTTTGTCCAGCGTTAAACGCGTGATTAGAATATTTAAATAAAAAAATTCATGAATTTTTATAATTCACGTGAGAAATTAGAAATAACAAAGATCAAATAGAAAATTTCCCATATAGGTATATATTTTATTTTACAAAATTTAATTTACATGACATTCAGATTAAATATAAGCGTTTTTATGTAAATCGAATACATTTGAGATTATCAGTTTTTTCAAACTTATTTGAGTTCACCAAAAGCAAATAAAATATCACATTAGTATGTAAAAATCTTGTCCAACAAAAAATAAAATAAATGATAAAAAATGAAAATGATGATTTCTCGAGATTCAAACATTAATGTTCGATTTATAAAGTTGTACGTTTATAACAAAGCGCAACTTTAATTAAAGTAATATGAATACAATTAATCAATATAAAAAAAATGTGCATGTTCAATCACATATGGTATCAAAATAGACACTTATACAATTTTATAAAATAATTAGTATCAGAAAATGATTCATCGTTAAAACATTATGTTATATAAGATTTTAAAATATTAAAATGTTACATTATAGTTAGATTTAAATTTGTAACACATTTATTTGTGAGTTTATGTAAAAAAATTAATATAAATATGTATAGATTTCCAACATAACATATAGACTTAACTGAAATATTTTGATTGGTTAATTTAGTTTGTGTCTCTTAAAAATACTCATTGAGTGACACATGACATAGGATTCTCCTCAATTAATATATACACGATGTTATATAAATATTAAAATGTTATATTTATGAGTTCATGTTACAAAAAATAATGTAAATATGTAGAGATTTCCAACATGACATATATAATTAAAAGAATGTTTTGATTGGTAAATTTAACTGATGTGTTCTTTAAAATCTTCATTAAGTAATCCGGAAGATTGTTTTACTATGTGTCTTCTCTGTTTTACTTATAAAGAGGATTTTGTGATGATCGTTTTTCTTAAATAGTTTTCTTCTTGCTTTGATTTATTCTAAAAGAATACTAAGTTACTTCTTTTCTTTTAAACACTTAGTAGAACTATACACCATTAAATAATGTATTTTTCTAGTATTTCAGATTAATTTCATAATTCAATTTAAAGGGAATTTCGCCAAAATAATTAATCAACATGTGCAATAATCAATTTCTACCCATTTTTAATACATGGTTTTTCTAAAACAATGTACCGTATGAATTAAATATTATTGTCAAGGATCTAAGCACTAAATAATTTGTCAGCATAACTATTATTTTTGCTACGATAACAATTTGTAGCATATTTGAGCTACGATTCGATACAAATTTGCTATAACTATTAAATTATCAATATGTAGCAAATTCTTCATCTTAAATAGCTAAATTGTCACAAATTAGCTACAAACTTGAAATTGTAACTAATTTATTTCAGTTGGTTACAAAAAGCTTGTTACAACATTTGCAACAATTTATTTCAAAGAATTATGTGACTTATAAGTCAGAAGCACTGTGTAAGAATGGTTGCTTATAATCTTACAAAACTAGGAAGTAGGAAGCTGATCCTTGCGGAAGAAAAAAACACACTTTGCTGAATTGTAATGATCTTACATATTCGTGGCAAGTAGTAATTTGTTTTTTGTATGTCTACGTGAATACATTTACTATATATACCCTAAGGAAATATATAGCTACAATATATCCTTTGTGCATTATTTTAAGTATAAATCTCGGCGGTTTTTATTTCTGGTTTTTTTGTTTGACCTCACACGGTAGATTAAAGAATACGACTACGAAAATTCACATGCTAGAGAAACCAAATAATAAAAAGACTTTATACGAGATAGGAAGCAAGTCGTTTGGATATAAATAAGTGTCCTCTGGCTCTCCCTTTGTCATCATTCAGTTCATCAACTCATTTGGTATACCAAAATGGATCAAAACATTCCCAATTCCCATGAGCTTGACGTTGATTCCACTGAGAATAATGTCAATCACGCCTCGTTTGGTATACCAATGAACATAACTGACCAAATCAACGATTCTCCACCGCAAGAAGTAGATAATGGCAAAGACATTCATTGCGCTGGCTCCGACATTACCAAAACAGGTTTAAATCTTAAAAACATGTTGGATTCATATA